CACATAAGGCATGGATGTTTTGTGTGTATGCGTTTATTCTGTGTTTGTTTTGTCCTGTGTTTCGGTAGAGGCTTTCCGACGAGCTGATCACCCGTCCAAGGAGTCCTACCGTCATGAAACTGAGAAATCAGCTCTATGCTCCAAAGTTGGAGCAAGAGGAGAGGAAAAAAATAAGTTTCTTTAGAGTCGGTAATTTACTGCCCGGTAGAATGACTACAGACATTTCAAGTTAGACTGCAAGAAGTCCTTACGCAAACATGATTACTGACATCGCAACACTTTCGAGCGCTCCAGTTATACTTTGCGTGTGGCCATATACACATCTTACTTCGTAAGTCGGACTTGCGGCTCCACCTCTGAGCAGTGTTCAAGCACAATTCAGAGGACATACAAACAGGAGACTCGATGGTGCAACACACTAAGGCGGCTACTGGCACAGTATTATCACGTATTTTGGGGTGTGACTATAGACGGGTTTCGGATTGATGACCGGATTTCTTGCAGGCTTATACAACTCGTTACTACACTTCACAAATCACTATATGTCATACTATGTCTTCTCAGTCTGTTACAGTCTCCATTAGCGGTTGCTTGGTAACGGATGATAACAATGGTTATTCCTCTGATTCCGTGCTCAAGTCCCGTACAGAACTCCTGCCAGGTGGTGACCAAGTCACGCCAGCTTCCTCTTCTTCTCTTCACATGCTTCCAACTGAACTGCCTTGTAAATTGAACTCACTAACCAACCAGTTGCTTCATGTCAATTCACTAAACTGATCGCCAACAAACTACTTCTTTATAACCACTTTGCAGGGACCGAAAAGAAAACACCGTTTCCAACAAGGCGTGTTGCATAAACCCGTTCTTATACTGTTGCGTGCATCCTGCGGGAGTTACCTAGCAACGGCCACTGTTTACTGAGTCACTGCTTAGCAATGGATCTATAAGCCATACTGCTCCCTCCTTAGGGTTATTCGTTCTGAATAGCCCACAGGCGTGCGGCCATTTATTCTTTTCCGAGGGCTGTGCTTGCGACGTCTGTGCTTGATCTCGCCTTCCTCCCCTGGCTCGGTTTTTCCGTGTTTACTCTCCAACCGCTCCTTCCTTAAGGCCGCTCGTCCCGAGGGGTTTCCTCATAGGGTGCCAGTCGGTCCAGGTTTATCACCATAATCTTCCTCCGGCTGACGCGGTCAGAAGATCCGAGAATTCTCAATGCTTCTCCGTGCGCCGTCTTTTCTTTGGTTTTGGTGGAGCCCATACCTCCACAATGTTCTGACGCTCATTTTCAACAGTCTAATAGAAGTCCGGACAATTTGCTTTACGACCTCCAGTGTGATAGTTTCCCATAAATCCTGCCAGATGTCCTCTGGCTTCCAAGACTTAACCACTCCTTTAAGTCTCGGTTCCTAATGCCATTACTGCATTCCGGTTGCGCTCGACGCCTTCTCCTGAATGTCCGCTCTTTCCAGGTTCCTTGTAGAACACTGCCCCTTGTCCGCTTTTTTCGTTGCCTCTGTTCGACCGTCGGTCTTTCACGCCGTACGGGAATGGCATGGTGGGTCATCCCTCTGTATGCGGCCGCCGACTTCTTGCGGGACTCACCATTACCCTGGGTCCGTTTCTTCGGCTGACTGCGGCGCCTTACGGCTAGATGCCAGTCCCTGTGCCGCTTCTTCAAAACTATAATTTCGCCTGTGGTTCTGTATGGGTGTGAAACTTAATTTCTGACATTAAGGGAGGAACACAGACTGAGGGTGTTGAGAATATTTGGACCGAAGATGGATAAAGTGACAGGAGGTTGGAGAAAACTGCATGAGGAGCTTCACAACTTTCTTCTCCGAGTATAATTAGAATGATGAAGTCAAGGAGAATGAGATGGGTAGGGCATGTAGCACGAATGGGGGACATGAGGAATGCATAGAGGATATTGGTGGGATAGCCAGAAGGAAAGAGACCACTGGGAAGACTAAGGCGCAGGTGGGTGAACAATATTAAAATGGATCTTAGAGAGATATGATGGGATGGTATGGATTTGATTGAGCTGGCTCAGGATAGGGACCAGTGGAGGGCTCTTGTGAACACGGTAATGAACCTTCGGGTTCCATAAAATGCTGGGAAATTCTTGGGTAGCTGCAGATTTGGATTCTCCTCAAGAATGGCTCAGCTCCGTAAATAAGTAAGAGCCGCTTCTGCAGTGCTGATAGGTTTCACTGCGGTCTCTTCCTTAGGCACCGAAGGGGATTCTTTAGCTTCCTCAGCTCTGATCCTCTTGTCACAGCTGTCCGTGCAGAACACTTGTCAACTGACAACTCAAATGAGTACCAGGCAGGCGGCCATTTCACACCAAGCTCCCAGTCTTCTCTTCACAGGCTGACTTCCAACTGTTACTGACTTCTCTCGCACCAACCAGCTGCTTCGCGTCACTTCACTCACATGAACTGGATCGTAGAAGTCAAAGTTACTTCACGACTGGCGGTTTACCGCCAATGAGTTCGTCTTGGCGCCAAGACCCTTGAGACCCACCACCAGTATTTTTTTCTCCTGAACACTTGCGGTTATAGCCTTTATATAACATCCTCTCTGACAAGTGGATGGGTCTGTCGTTTACAATTGCTGCTGGCCCTCGCCGGCGCAGTCATTCTCGGGTCCGAGTCCAGCTGGACTCATGGCCATATTTTACTGTCCTCGCCGCCTCCTACGACTCGCAGGGCTACGGTGGAGATATTCGAACCCGCCTACACACGGGGTTATCCTTAACTGGACAGCCAACTATTTCTTTATAATCACTTTGCATGGACAGAATAAAAAACACCGTTTCCAACAATGCGTGTTCGTCGGCCCGTTGTTTAGAAACGGGTTGTATAACCCCGTTCTTCTATTGTTCCATGAGTATATGTTGCAGGCGTTACCTAGCAAAAGCCGCTGTTTACAGAGTCATTGCTTAGCGACAGTTATTACTAATGTTATATTTTAGCGTCCTGTGTGAACATGGCATGCAATGAACTGGTTTGACGTGGATAAGTAAGCACCTGAAGATGGCATTATTATGCCGAAACATGTAGTGCGAGGGAGAGAAGGAAATAAATGAGTGTATGCACTGCAAGACGGATTAAATAAATCATGGGCTTAGCGACAGGTTTATGCGCCACACTATGCACAAAATGGGATATGAATGCCTTGTAGGGATTTACTTCAAACATCTTAAACCTGAAATACTACTCGATTATACCTCATATCTAACCCAGACGAGTTCAATCGCCTATGACACGACACCGAGCACCACGTAAAAGCCGATCTGGAACACACCCACCTCCCATCCAATAGGTGCCGCGAATTATTTCCCCCAGCAAAGAGCGGCCGAGATGTAAAACAGGTCGTTCCCTCCATCTAGCGCCGATTTTAAGAATGTGTAAATGTTTCCTGAGCTTCCCATATAACGTAATACTTAAACACGGGGAGTTTTGCACGGGCTATTGACAGCATATTGTCTGTGGCCATAGTGGGACAGCGCTTAGAGACCCGATGGGCAGAACAACTTCCTCTACTCGAAGACCAAGAGACAGGCAACATCCAAAACTCCGTATATATCTTTCAATTCAGGCACTGGACACAACCCGAAGACATCACTTCCATGACCACATTCTGCGGGATAGCAAACATGAGTTCTGACAAGGGAATTAAACTCATTACCGTGGCTCCATTTCATTTAGTAACTTTCGGTTCAGTTCGTTAGGCTGAATAATGGCACCGCTTCAACTGCCGAGGCCAAATAGCGTCAAATAATGTGTAAGTGAGGATTCGAAAGGAAGTGTAGTGTCATTTCAACGTACTATTTTGGCCAAAATTAGATTCACAAGTAATTCGTTTACGAATTAACGACACTTATTCAACTGAATATGTTATACAGTGCCGAACTGGCTGCGCCATAGCTCAAGCGGTTAGTCGCTGGTTTCCCACCGCGGCGGCCCGGGTTCGATCCCGGGTCTGGTCAAGTGGAATTTGTGGTGGACAAAGTGGCGCTGGGGCGGGTGTTCTCCGAGTACTTCGGTTTCCCCTGCCAATCTTCATTCCACCAAATTCTCCATCATCATAATCACCCGGGGCAGGTACAATAGGCCAATCAGTGGCCGCTGTGCAGAGTGGACCCAGTTGGACTCCAACCCCCCACTAAGCGAATTTAAAATTTTTTATACAGTGCCGAACGATATGATGAATACCAATGAACTAAAAAAAAAGACGTGGACGGATAAATGAACATATTCTACTTTATACAATGCCATAATTCGGTGGAGGAAATCCAGAGAAACCCCAAGACAGCACAGAGCGTCTCCTGGCCTCCCGAATATAAAGCAGTGTTAACCCAGCGCAGTCGGTATAGCGATTAGATACTGGCTGGATGACCAAGAGGTCTGAGATCGAGTCCCGGTGGGGACAAGAACTTTCACTTCTCCATATCGTCCAGACCGGCTCTGGAGCGCACCCAGCCTCCTAACCAATGGATACCGGGGGTAAAGTGGCCGGGGCGTGAAGCTGACCACTCCCCTCCAGCCAGTGCCAAGGACAAGAAAATGTGGATCTATACATCCACTCCCCTATACGTCTTCATAGCGTAGAGTTTAATTAGTTAAGCAAATGGGCAACTTTACTTTACCATTCGACAAAATGCTGGGGTGACTGAGCTTCGAACCGGGTATATCGTGAATACGAATCTATGAGTGTTACCGCTGCACCAACGTCTTAAACCTCGTGGTAGTACAAGAAAGGCAAATTCATGGAGCTGTCTGCTATATTTTTCAAACAATTACAAATACCAATACAGATCAAAAGTTCTCCACTACTCCAGGTTCGGGTCATCAATTACCGTGTTGGAAATCGGGAAGTCTGGGTGGGGAGTCTCTCACTCCGCCCCTCCTAAAGATAAAAGCCCCGTAACACCGCTGTCTCGTGCAGTTCCTGTGATTACAAGGTGACGGCTTAATCTTGCTATCGACTACCAAGTGATTGAGTGTGTGTGTTTCATCAGGTTCATTTTCGTAGATTTTAATCGTGGACCTATATATTCCGTGTTAACATGGGCGTCTTATGTTCTGTAAGTACTACCATTTAATTCAATGTTACGGGTGCGAAACTTGGTCTCTCACATTAAGGGATTAACAGATTGGGGGTGCTCAAGAATCGGGTAAAAGGTAAAAAGTTGCCCCTGTGCTTAACAAATTAAGCACTAACGCCATGAAGGCGTATGGGGGAGTGGATGTATAGATCCACATTTTCTTGTCCTCGGCATTAGCTGGAGGTGTGGTCAGCTTCACGCACCGGCCGCTTTACCACTGGGGAAAGAGCCCCCGGTATTGTAATTGGAAAAGAGGATGGGTAGACCGCAGAGCCGGTCTGGACAACGTGGAGAAGAGAGAATTCTTGACCCTACCGGGACTCGAACTCCGACCCCTCGGTCGTTCAGCCCGTAGCTAGTCGCTACGCTATCCAGGCTCCTAATCAAGAACAGAGTGCTGTGGAGAACGCTTGCGCGTAACAGGCATGAAGTAATATGAGGCTGGAGGAAACTACATAATGTGGAGCTTCTTAATATGTACTCCTCGCCAAATATTACTAGAATAATCACTCAAACAGTTTGAGATAGGCAGGGAATGTAGCACACACAGGACGAAAGATAATTCGTACGAATTTCTGATGGGAAACCCTGAAGACAAGAGACTAGTAGGAAGACCTAGACATAGATGGCAGGATATTAAAATGGATAATAAAGAAACAAGATGGGTGTAGAGTGCGAGAAGCTACTGACATGTGTCTCTGCACAGCTGTGGCCCAGTGTGGGGGTGAGTGAGGGCCACACTGTTGGGCAATGATTCCGGGCGTGTCTACCTCTACTTGTTAAGGGTGTGGTGTACGGACCAGATTCAGAAACCGGACTCGGACAGTTTATGATGGCCTTGACCAAACAGCAATTTTACCTGGTGGAACCCGTTAACATCTACACAAGGTCGTTCTTCAGAGTGTTAACGTTTTTCTTTTTGTCTCAACAACATTTATCCAGATGCTAATTGGTCTCTTATTTAGGCTTATGCCATTACGGGTAATGGCAAGGCTGGCCGATGCTGCAACAGTTGTCTTCGTTGCTATGGAAGCGCCATTATTACTCACGCAAACTAGAACACATGCAATTCTACTTCAGTGTTGCCCTTTCGCAAGTTTACAGACTGAACTTGTTGCAACGCTCTCCTTTCAGCCGTTTGTCAAAACAGAAGAATCTAACTCACTAACTGCATGCCGTTAAGTCCTTGGAACCCGATATTTCTTTCCGTGTTCACAAGAGCCCCCACTGGTCTCTATCCTCAGCGAGATTAATCTAGTCCATGCCACCACATTATACTACGTATTTCTCTACGATCCACCTTAATATTATCCTCCCACCTATGTCTAGGTTTTTCTTTTAATTCGCTTAGTGGGGGGTGGAGCCCAACTGGGTCAATTCGGCAAGGCGGCCACTGATTGGCCTATTGTAGCCTGCCCCGAGTGATTATGATGATGGAGAATTTGGTAGAATGAAGACTGGCAGCGGAAACCGAAGTACTCGGAGAAAACCCGCCCCAGCGCCACTTTGTCCACCACAAATCCCACTTGACCAGACCCAGGATCGAACCCGGGCCGCCGTGGTGGGAAGCCAGCGACTAACCGCTTGAACTATGGCGCGGCCATGTTTAGGTCTTCCTAGGGGTCTTCTTCCTTTTGGCTTTTCCACCAAAACCCTGCATACATCAATCTTCGTCACATGCGTGCTACATGCCCTATCCATCTCATCCTCCTTGAAAACAGATGACTTGAATCATTACGAACCTGCGGCAATAACACATTTAACTCTCCCTTACTACATGCCAGACACCTCGCTTACAGGCACTGGCTCTTGTACCCGCAAATTCTTTTTTAGATCAGCGAAAGATGTTTTGTCATTTCTCAAAAAAAGGTAAAGCTATCCCCGTACCAGGCCGTGGAGGCCCATATGGTTGTGAGACGTCGAGACTCTCACATTTTCTAGACAATCGGCCCACAGATGACAGTGAGGTTGCCAGTCTTATGTGCATGCCGCCCTCCCCCCCCCCAGGAAGATTCCTGGTATTTATTTCTGTCAGAGGCTGAGTTGACCCCGGGTCATAATGCGGCTGGGAGGATTAGGTCAATTGAAAATCCCAATGACCTCATCGGGAATCGAACCCGCTACCTTTAGGCTTGTAGCATAGTGCCCAAACCAACTACGCTACCGCGTGCCTCCCCTCTCAAAAGTAATGACATATATTAGGAGCTTCAAATTAAATTTAACTCATATACGTTTCCATGATATTGCACTATTTTATGGCTTTAAACAATCTCTTTTTATCTATTTCGTTACTATTATCGCTGCGTATACCTTAAAAAAGGACGTAACATTTATTTTGAATGTTGATATATGCAATTAAAGAAACTCAAGCCCCAACGATAAATACATGGACCTAAAAGAATTACGAGAACAAACAGAAAAACATAACTGGGAGCTGCTTGTATGTCACAATACTGTTAAATGAAGGTAGTTACAATGAGCTGGACATGTAAAACGGACGAGAAAACGAAATATACAAAACCAGAGCTCTGCCTGCCACCCGTCTTCATGCTGGCTTATTCTTCGACTCTGATGGTGGAGGCGAAATTTTCCTCTGGAAAGTCGTCTGCTTTTGATGGAATACACATCGTTATATCCCAGAAGACAGAAGAACTCTTCATACTCCAACTAGTTGCTGTATAGTTGCTCAGAGGTAGAATTCACATTTGATTTCTGACCCTTATGAGCTCCACATCATCCAGATCTATCTATTTGGGATTTGGACTAAAAAAAGTCCTAATAATTAATATAGGAAAAAGTTAAACTGAACTTCTTTGGAAGCTAAAACGATTCCAGACCACTTCATGTGTTCCACTAACACGTCTTGGTGTTTAAAAAGCCAGTGTTGGCGTGAAATAGACATATATTCAGAATCTACCTCCCCCCCCACCCACCCATTTCTGAATGTAAGAGGTTGAAGACAAGAACTAAGTAAGCATGCAGATATGGCTGCGTGATTACAAGTAGCCGCATAACAACAGACTAAAAGGTGACTGAGGCAAACTGCAATATATTCACAAATATTTTCCTTTGGACAATGCAATCTTGCCACTTCAAACTGCTGAATGACCGCCCCCCTAAAGCCTGACGTGATGAATAACAAACGTGGGAAACAGGATTATTTCACAAAGGACGAAACATGCATACCACAAAACATTAACGATCCAATTACACAGTATCACCTATTGGCACAATTAATTCGCATGTGAGCGCCCTTGAGTCAACAGCATGGGACTGAAAATCTTAACCAATAAAGCAGTGCTTTTCTCTGGAAGTATAAAAAAATGCAAGAACATTTCGAGAACATAAACGCATCTTCTGGCGATATCATTTCGCAGAGAATAATTTGGAGGAAAGTGGGACGAACAATTTGACAGGAGGGGACACTGGATATTCCTTGTACAGTTCTACACAGAGCATTTAAATGTAACAACATATCATTTGTTTTTGACTGACCATATAAACAATACTGGAGGGCCGCTGGTTGTATATTGTAATCCACTGATGCTCAACTTCCGGTTCGTGTTGATTATTTCGAAAGTTACACCTGAATTTCCCTCATGGGTAGTACGTTTTTCATAGAATCAGCAAACACCAGCTGCTTCTTTCTCATTATAGGTCATTACAGGGTTCTCAAATAATGGTTAAATTCCTCTTTTCTTACAAATTTAGTTTGCAGATCTTCCACCCTGGAAATTTATACCGTTAGCTGCTATCAAAATTTTAACATGGATCATACATATACACATTTGCTGTCAGACTACAGGTACATTATACAACATTTCTGAAAACTACAGTGCCCTAAATGTACAAAGGTTGGACAAAAAGTAGTGGCAACACCTCTGTAGTTCTGAAATGACTTTATTACCTGAGGTAAACACACTTACATTCCTTCAATATAATCGCCCCCCATGTGTACCACCTTCTGCCAAATTTCTGGAAGGTGTTGTATATCATCAGCGCATCCACTTCTGTTGATGTCCACCAGTAACCGCCCTACAGCATGAATAATCTCCTCTCTTGTGTTCTAACGGGTCCCTCGCAGTGGTTCTTTCATTTTGGCAAAGAGATCATAATCGTACAGACTCATATCGGGTGAGTATGGCAGATGTTGCAGTATCTCACATCGCCAGCAGCAAAGGAGATCCTTGACCGCGTCAGCAGTATGAGCCCTTGCATTGTCATGAAGGATGATGGGGTCCATTGCCAACAAGTGTCATCGCTTTCTCCTGAGTGCAGGGCAAAGATGATCATGCAGGAAATTGCAGTAGTAGGCAGTGTTTGCTGTCTGTCGTTGAGGTACAGTGTGGTGCAGTATCACTCCATTAATATCATACACCAAAATGAACATCGCCTTCACATTACTCTGTGTAGGGCACACTTTCTTTGGATGTGGAGAGCCAGGATGTTTCCATTTGTTTGACTGTCGCTTCAAGTGCGGTTCATATGAGTGAGCTCAAGTTTCATCCAGAGTGACGATCTTTCCAAGGAAGTCGTCACCTTCCTTCTGGTACTGGTCCAACAAGTCCTGTGAAACTGCATAACGTTGCCATTTTTGCACCTTGGACATTGTACGGGGTACCCAACATGCTGCAATTTTGCAGTATCCAAGAACATCATGCAGAATGTGGAGCACGGTTTTGTGACATATGCCTACCTCAGCAGCTAACTCCCGCGCAGCCCATCGATAATAGACATCCAGCAAAGAAGCAAGAAGCTGAATTGTGTGGCTGTCAACATGGGTCGTCCTAAACGACAGCTGTCCTGAATGGCATCCCTCCCTTCACGGAACAATTTCACTCATCGTGCCACTGTGTGAAATGGCAAAGCAGCATCATCACATGCTTCTCGCAGTCCCTGATAACAGTTTTGTGCACTACGACCTCGTGCAACTTCAATTTTTATCCAGGAGCATTGTTCTTGTTTCATAAACATGTTGTTAGGGTGCTTGAACTGGGCTCCTGCACTTCAAGACAATGCACAATGCAACTCAATGAAACACAACCAGAGCCACTCACTGCACTACTTCAACTGAACTTCTGCTATCAACTACAGACGGCGCTAGTGCCACCTGATGCACATCTTCCATGTTACAGCAGTGTCGCCACTACTTTTTATCCAGCACTTGTAATTAAATACTAAGTAACTAACCAACTTTCTGGTAGCAGAACCTGACAGTCTGACACTACTAATATGAGGTTCCCAATCAGATACTATTCTGAACAACCTTGAAAACCAATTTTCTTAGTATATCAACATTTCATTTCATTACCTCTACAAGCAGCAATTTCCAGGCTCCTACCTTATACACACTCATATCATTCCAAGTACGAATTTCCACATCCTTCATTTATCATCTGGTCATTCCAAAGAATCTATCCAGTTGGTTGTAAATTTTATAATTAGAGGTTATGGTGAAGGATTATTAGCCTTAAACCCTACTCCTAAGGGAAATAAAGTAAACCTCTAAGTCATGACTCTTATTTATATTGTGAATGCCATGTAACTTGTGTACTCTTCTCTTTTCAGATGGTGCTGTGTGCAATACTTCTGGTGCCTACATGGGCTGTACTTCCTGGCTACTTTGGTTATCCTATAGCTCCCCCGTTTTCTAGTGTAATCACTCCGCAATATGAGGCACAGCCCCTTTTTGCATACTCTGTATACACAGCTCCTACTGCTGCTGCTGCTGCTGCTGCTGCACCTCTGGCAATACAAATATATACCGCACCAGACGATATTTACCGAGGCTATTCTTTCCAGACTGAATATGAGGGGGGAGGTAAAAGTGAAGTGGTCTTTGTGACTGGTCCACAAGCCAATCAGCTTTTGAAAAAATCGGTAGAACTCTTCCGCACAACTGTACCAACTGAAGTTGAACAACCTACAGGTCGATCATTAAGTTCAAATACTACAAACACTTCTACACCTGCAGGTCCCTCTACTTCAAATGACCCCCTCACTTCCTACTACCATGTTCAACTCTATCCTGCTCATACATCCCCTTTCATAGGATACACCCCTCCACTTCAGAACCTTATATCCTCCTTTGCCTACAGTGTAACTAATGAAATTGCCAATTCAGTCAAGGATGCCTCTGTGAATGGTGAAGAAGCACAAGAAAGCATGATCTATGGTGACATTTTAATATCACCAGCTCCAGACACATCAACTGAAAAAAGCCAGAATGCCACAACAAGCGCACCACAAACCACATCTCAAATTCCATCTGAGGAAACTACAACTACAACTACAACTACGACTACCACTACAGCTACAACCACCTCTACAACTATAACCAGTAGCAATGCCACAGTTACTTCAAACCCAGAATCCTCCACAAGCAGTAAAACTCTGGCTGAAGAAACAAATGAAGTATCAGACTTAACTACAACTACTCATGCATCTGATGAGATAATGGAAACAACCAGTGCTTGAATAAACTTCTCAATAAAAGTGAATACATTCTTATCTTCAGAATGTGACTAAAGCTTAAATAGCAGTGGGTTAAGTGTGGTTTCACCATGTCACATTATTTGTGCAATAATGGAATGTCAACAGACTTTCATACTAATACACCCATACTTCCTGTCCAAAAAAGCACTTCAGGTTCACAACTGGTACCACCATTTCCCTGTTGTGGCTGATGATTAAAACTTTTAATGTTTTTACTTGCATGAAAGAAAAAAATTCTTAAAACTATTTGCATTATAAATTCCAAAAATCTTTACTGCCTGTAAATTCTTTTACACGTTGCATTTGGTGGCATGTTAATGCTACATTCCATGCTACAAGACATTGTGTCTTGTCATAAAAATTGAGATATATGGTCATATACTTCTAAATAAATATGCACTTATTTGGTGGCAAGAAAAAATTCCTAAAATAACTGAACCTGAAGAATATTAAAACTATAGTTCCTCTCAGTCTCTTTTGAGAACTGATTAATTTTTATTCATTAACAAGGTAAGACGAGATGAACTTCTGAATTTGTGATTTTTTTAAACCAAATTCAGTATCCAGCCTTTCGAATGCCTTCCAGAGGTCAAGTCAGAAATGAAGTCCTGTGTGTCTCCAAATATTCTGAGACTCTATATAAATAAAAATTGTTAATAAACTGAAATCTAAAACATCTAAAACTTTAAAGACATCAGAGTTTCATAGTGTGTGCTGCTTTCCAGGAATGCATGCACACCCACACACACTCTTTCACAGGGTCTTTCTTGAAAAACCATACTGCCTGACTCTCTTACTGATTGTTGGCCAGAACTTTCAGCATCACTCACCCCTCCCCAAGGAAAGGGGGTCTAAACTGTCAGCTAATATGCCCCACATTATAAACAAAACATGCATTTCTTAAAGTAACCAAATTGTTCAGTAGAACTCAGCATCACAGTGCATGCTCAAAATGCTTCCCTTCTGATCTTAAACCAACTTCAAGTCTCTTGAAAAGATTGTTTGACTTTACTTTGACTTCATTGATCTCAACAGATAATTGTTTCAGAGATGTGCTTAAATTCATCCAGTGTATGGGGGCTATTTGAATGAATTTTATTTTTAGTTTCCCTGCCGATAAAAAATCACAGGAATTTAGGTCTAGAGGCCTTGCAGGCCACAATCTGTGATTTATCAGTCCATCTTACAACACCTCACTTACAACATTAATGGTGTAACTAGCAGTGTGTGCTATAGCACAATTTTGCATACAATAATAATTCTTCCCTAGTTCAAAACAATGGGAGGGTTGGGGGGGGCAAAGACTGACACCCACAGTACTGCTCTGTTCAAAAACATAGGTCCCATTACTGAAAAATTGTTAATACATCCCAGAAAACACAGTCGTATCTCAACTGTTCATACCTCAATATTTACTTTTCCAACAGCTAAACTGGTATGTGCATTGAGTGAGGTAAGAAAAATGAGGAGACAAAAAATCAATATGATCAAACAGAGAGCTTTCACTCAGATATTCATATCTAAGAAGCATGTGTTCATATCTCAAGAAGTGAGTCACAATGGATATCATATGCAATTGATAGACATTTGATAACTCAGGGGCTCGTTATATTTCCTCCCTTCCATTTTCATCTTTCTTTCTCCCACATCTTCATTCTTTCTTCATGTTAACATTTTCTATGAGTGTACAAAATGGATTTAAGCATATCTGGAAAAGCAACATTAGAATCCAAAATGGACTCCATCTCTAAAATTGACCACTATAATTTTGAATGTATAGAAACAGAACTGGCACCCATATAACTTCTTGGTCCATATAATCATTCTGTACTTTCATGAGTCTTCACATCTGCCTATGTATCCCATTCCTGAATGACTGTTCCAGTACTAATAAACACTTTCATTTTTGGGTGGGCAAGTGGAACCAGCATTTTTGTGTATGTGTTCAATGTAAGGCTATGTATTCAGTTAATGCAAACTGTAGATTATAAAGAATCAAACCTCTGCATACTAAGTGGATATACAAAACAGCTTATTTAAAAAACAGTAATAAATCTAAGAGAATGGACCTATCTTGAACCTAAACTGTGACTGGATACCTGTTGAAATGTACAGCTCTGAATGTAAAATTATTGTGTATACTGCAATGCTCTCCTTTCCAACATCCTGAAGCTAAATTCACCCTATACTAGTAATAAGCTTTCATGGATGTGCAAAAATGATGACAAAATTAATAAAAGCATGTAATGTACATATACTTTCAATGATCTTAAAAATCTGCTATTCAAAATAATTTTGACACATCTGGTGACAGTGTAATAACTTTTAGGTTATTGTAAAAATCCTGCCAAGGCTCTTGTCAGTGTATATATGATTTCTGCTCACCTCAGCATTATGATTCTTGAAAACAAACACTCTTCTTGTTTGATAATAACTCATAATTCCTCCTTATTCTTTACTCTCCTCTATATTTGCCCTGCCCCTTCTTTCTTTTCTTACACCATTTGGCAACCTCCTTCTTCCAGCTCAACTTCTTCATGATTTATATACAACAGTATATCCATTCATTACTCTCACTGATAACATAGGCCTGGACAGTTGTTCTTGTCAGAATATATTTGTCATTATATGCCAAAATTCAACACTGCCAGGTTTTACATCTCCAGTCTATAATACACTTAGTACAGCGCCCAACATTTGGTTACAAAAATTAAAATTACATACTGCATGATAATAAACTAATATGAACCTTCAAGTATAACACGTAGTAGTAAAAAACTTTACTTGGATAAAAGATGTTTCAACCCTATACGGCCATCATCGGGGCTTATGTGTTGAAGAGGAGATTGATTAGTACACATCAATTTCTAGCAGTAATATTTACATTGTTGATGGACTGTGTGTAGTGTGCAGATACTGTGGCTTCTACTGGCATTCCTTTTTCTATAAAGATCTCACACAGAACATGATTGATATTACATTACTACTTCATTGTCTGTCAGTTCCTTGGAAAGGTGTGCTGTGCTAGTGATGCAGTTGGTGTCTAGGGTGTCTCGACCACATCACCAGCACAGCACACTGCATACTGCAGCAAGGGATTGCAGAAAATGAAGCAAAAATGTATAACATCAATCATGTAACTTGCAGATATTCTGGCTTTTATTGGTGTTTCTTCTCCTAATGTGACTACATTTTACAATTTACTACTAGGCACGTGAGCACACACACACTAGTGTCCACAGTTACATCTCCACTAGCTGTTGCTCAGTAGCAGCTTCCAACATCAGATGTTCCCTTTTCTCTGGGTTCCCGAATGGTCCCTGGCCTCAGTTACAGCAACTCTCGACTGACTCACCAACCGACTCCACTCCACTTAACCCAACTAACTCAACTCAACTGACTAACTCACTGTCCTGCTTATAAAATCTCGGTATGGACCACACAGAAAATGCTGTACCTCTGTTGCTGATTACAGGCCATTGACTAGTAACAGCCATTGTCTAGGTGTCTGTTTTGCAGTTGTGGCCTAGCAACAGGTCTACATGACACAATATTATATTACTGTTTCATTACATGCTCATTGCTTGTTATGATACGTGGTGTGTTGTGCTGGTGATGTAATGTCTGAGATGTCTAGACTGCATCACCAGTAGAGCACACCCCACACACACTGTAGCAAGGAGATGGGAGACAGTGAAACAATATCATAATATCAATCACGTTCTGTGTAAGATCTGCACACAAAAAGCAACACCAATAGACTACAATAATCTACAAATTACACCTGGTCCATGAACAATTTATATGTAAGCAAAGAACTCTCTACACTCTAATTCATTATTATTTTATCTACATCTCTGTATATCATATTTTAACAAAACTGTACTTATGTCCTACATATGTTTGGCCCATTTGTGTACAACACCTGATGATGACCATTTTATGGTCAAAACATGTAGTGAATAAAAAAAATAAATAACACAAATCTTTTAATGTAAATCTGCGTAATGGTTTATCTTATGATATATAGGCCTGGAAAGTATTTACAGACAGGTCACAATCCTCTTTTTCCAACTCCTTCCTGTTTACTATTCTAGATCATCCCCACCTCTCACTTCAAACATCATAATGTTGGCAGCTGAAACAGTATATATATATACAGGATGTCCCAGGAGGAATGTGCCAAACTTCGGCAGTGTGTTCCTTATGTTAAAGTATGCCGATATAACCCAAAACACCTATGTCCAAATTTAATTGTTTCTTGCATCCTGTTGTGTATTTAATTAATATTAGAGTCAATTTTACCGATCACACAAGGTATTTTTATTATTATTATTACACTACATGTTTCGACCTCAGCTGTGTTTGTACACCTGAGGATGACCTCTTGAGGTCGAAACATGTAGTGTAATAATAATAAAAATATATAATAAATAATATTAACCTATGTCCAACGCTGAACGGTTATGGAGAT